CAGTGTGGCGGGGGGGGGGGAGGGAGCTGGCGGGAGGCCTGGGGGCGTAGCGGGCGCCCCGTAAAAGTGGGGTCGCGGACACCGCAGACTCGCGCCAAACAGTTGCGAGCCGAGCCTTGGCAGCTGCTGATTGGACGGCGTGGGTGTCAATCGGCGTGGTGCCTAGGTTGGCGACTGTACGGCGGACCCTTGAGTGACGCGACGCGGAACTGCAACTCCCATGGTTCTCTGCGCTATGAGGTGGTGTGGGGCATAATCGGGCGGGGGCTGCGGATACAGGTGTGCGCATGTGGCCTTTTTCTTATTGGCTGGCAGGGTGGTCTGAGCGGTTCTGCCTAGCGCAGAGGGTTGTGGGGAATGTAGTTGTAGACCCTGCCAGGGGGCCGAACAGCGCGGGACTGGCTGCTCCCCCCTGTGGCTGCTCTGGCACCATGGGAGGCCTGGCCGTGGGCATGGCATGGCCCTTGGTGACTCCCATAAGTAGTCTGCTGTGCAACTTCAGCTTGGCGTACTACTCAGACCCTGATCCCAAGCAGGTCGGTGCTGCTGTGTGTGTGGAACTGAAGATTGCAGGGGGAATCATGCATCTTCCAGGAACAGATCAGAGGGAAGTAGTCTGCTGGAGGGGAATGACCAGCTGGAGTGTCCGATCTGCCAGTGGTGTCTGGAAAGCAAGCTGTTACCTACTCCCACTATGTCACCAAACAAGCCAACTACTCCCATTGCAAAAAGGGTAGAGTGGGGAAGGCAGATCAAACCCGCAACCACTTGTGATGAATGGCACTGCTGTGCTTTTCATCTTCTGTGTGGCATATGACGTGGTAAAGCACTGCAAACCATTTGCCAAAGGAACATTTGTGAAGCAGTGTGCCTCTTGTCATTCTCACAGACACACTGACCTTCACTCTCATCTCCCGACCCAACACATAAGTGGGGGGTTGTTGTTACTTTTTTTACTGCTTGTAAAGTGGGTTATTTTTGGTTTTGGACTGGTCTGTGCATTTCATACTTTTCATTTCTCTCTTGTGCTTAAATGTAATTCTTTGAGTAGCGAGTTTTAAAATGCCTGATTTGTGGTGGCAGGAGTCATTATTCCTGTGGTAATTGCTGCTCCTGGAAGTGGCTGCATGTCCCTGCAGCCCCTGAGAAAGGCAGAGCAGGGCATCTCCACATGCTCTCTTTGCCTGCAGACACCACTCCATTGATCAATATAAGGGAGCCATGGCCAAAAGAAGCTGTGGGCTCAGTGCCTACAGATGAGGGGCAGCACATAGCGCCAGGGAGCCACTGCTGTACATGCCAGCTGCAGGAGTGGTGCAGGGCCAAGGCAGGAGTAAGCCTGTCTTAACTCCAAAGCTCCCCCACACAGAAGCCGTCTCAGTTTAAACGGTGCCCAGCCAGAGCCTATTTCCTGAACACCTGTCCCAGCCCTGAACCTCCTCCTACACCCAACCTTCTGCCCCAGACGTGAGTTCCCCTGCACCCATACTCCTTTCCAGAGCTTGCACCCTTCCTGGACCCTAATTCCGCACCCTGGGCTAAGTCGGGAGCTCCTCCCACACTCTAAACTCTTTGGCCTAAGACCAGAGCCTGCACCCAAACCCTCTTCCTCAGCGTGGTGAAAGTGAGTGAGGATGGGGGAGGAAGGAAGATGGAGTGAGCAGGGTGAAGCCTCAAAGAGGGGGTAGGGCCTCAAAGAAAGGGCAGGAAGGAAGTGGGCCAAGGGTATTTGGGTTTGAGGTAGATCTTACATTGCACTTAAATTGAAAAAGTGATCTTGTGGTTAAAAAGATTGGAGACCACTGATGTAATGTATGTAGCCATCATTGATCTTTATCTGTGGTGCCTGTGAAAACCTTAAAATAGACAAGGAAATTCTGTTAGGTCATTAGTTTTAAAAGAGCACAGCGAGAACAATTATATATTGGAAACAGTTTCAGACTCAATGAATATTATGTCAGAGGGAATTCTGCACTAAAAATATTAAAAATTCTGCACACAGTATTTAAAACGTACACAAATTTTACCTGTCAATAAATGTGGGGACTCTAGCATAAAAGTAAGGAGCACAGGCCACTGGTTGCATGGAAGTGGGAAATCATCTTGCAGCCCTCCTCCACCATTCCTACACAGAGCTGGCAGTGAGGCTGCATGGGATGGTGATACAGCACAAAGGCCAGCTGTGTCCCAGAAACACTCCTGGCTCATACCCCTCCATGCCAGGTGTGGGCAGGAAGGCTGAGTCCAACAGAATCTAAGTGTGGCATGGCTTCGTGGAGGCAAGGGGAATCTGGGTGTGGGGTGAAAGTACTCGGCATGGGGCAATCAGTCTGTGGGGCTCTCAGTGGGGATCTGAGTGTAAAAAAAATCCAGGGCTTGTTGGAGGGTGGCATTCCAGATGCAGGGGAAAAGGAAATCTGCAAGAAGGTCCAGATGAAGGCAGTTAGGGTTCAACAGGATGGGCCTCGGGGAGAAGGGAAGGCTCAGTGGGGAGTCTGGATGCTGGAGGAGTGGGGCTTGATGAGAGTCCAGGTGCAGCTGGTTGGGGCTCAATGGGGGGTGGGAGCCAGGTGCAGGGAGGTTTGTCAGACTGACCTGGGTGCAGGGGCATAGGGCACATCAGGGTGGCAGGTTCAGTGTAGGTCTCAGCAGGGGATGATCTGGATTCAAGAGTGAGGGACTGGATGCACTGGGGTTAGGTGGATATGGGAGCAGCTCCCTAAATAGTGACCCCTCCCCCCAGCAGTGACTGCTGGGGAGGGACACAAGGGATGCACTGGCCATGTGACCATCCCACCATGTGAGTCCTCCCTGGGCCACCCCTATCCCAGGGGAGTGCCCCACCTCTTCCTGCCCCTACCTCCCCCAACTCCACTCCCCTAAGCAATACAGCCCAAATGATTAGCAAGGAGCCCAGGGCCAGCAGCAGGGTTTGTGGGCCCCCACAGTCACTGGCTGGGGTCAGAAACAGTGACCCAGCCCACTCAGCTCCCTGGCTCCCCTGTTGCCGCTGAGTGTGGGGGCAGTTCCACCTCTTCTCCCAAGCCCTTCTCCCTGAGCAACATGGCTGGGAGCAGAACAGACTGAGGCTAGGTAATTCCTCTTCCCGCACCCACCACCAGGGGTGAATGTGGGGTTGGTCCGGATCTTTGCTGCTGGTGCCAGGCATCACCCTCCCTCCCTCCGCTAATCACTGTGTCACCTGGGGGAGGGGAACCAACTCCCACACTCTCCAGCAGTGGGAAGCAGAGTGATGAGGCTGGGAGATGATGGAGTGGAGCAGCTGGGCCTGGGTCACTTTGCTTCCTGCCAGTGGAGTATGTGGAGGGGGCAACCTATACTTCTGGTGCCAGGCTCCCTGCTAGTCACCCAAGCTGCCCTGGGTACCACTGGACTACCCAAAATGCAGGGCACAGAACAGTGCTGCCTGCTGGCTATTAGCCCCTTCTCCCTCCCATCATGGCATTGGGGGCACATGCCCCCCACATATCACCCTTGCCTCTCCCCCTCTCTGAGATGCAATGGGGGCAGGAAGGAGGGAATGGAGATTCCCGCATCTTGAGGAAGTTTCTGGGAGTAGGTCGGAGAAGAATAAATTCCATCCACCCCCTACCACAAGCCATCCAAGACTAGCAGCTGGGCCTGACCTAGGTTAGAGCCACCGGTTTAAGCGTCTTCATCTCATTCCTACAGTGATTTACCAGTCCACAGGCTGCCTGAAGTGATGCGCAAGCACTGCTGCGGAGAGGCATGTGACAACTCTTGCAACTTCCCTTTGCTTCCCTGTCAGAAAGTCATTTTTTTCTTTGGGGAGGCAAAGAAAAATGTGATGGACATTAATTCTGCATGTGCAATATTCCCCCAGGAGTAGAATATGCAAGAGTTGCAATGGCATGTCTGGCTGGGATTATGACAAATAAAGCAGTAAGTGACCTAGGAAAGGATGGTCTGGTGCATTTGCTAGAGTGGAAGGTTGCAATCAAATGGAAAGGAAGGACTTCTTCATGTTAGTGGGAGAACTTGGGGGATGGTGACTTGAATCTTGGTCACCAGGGTCTCTCATATTGTCCAACAAAGCCATACCAGGAGTGTTGGGGGAAGGAGGAGATGGCTAAGCCCTGGCCAGACCCTTATGCCCAGTGTTTCTTAAACTGAAGCAGTCGGAGGTGTGCCGCGGCGAACAACAGAATTCAAAATGCCTGCCCTTAAAAATGGCTGCCCTTTTTTTTCCCTCAATAACTTTCCCCTGGACCCTTTTTTCCCCTCACCTTTTGTTGCTGTTGTTTTTTGTTTGTTTTTTTCTTTGTGCTTAACAAAAAATCCTTGGTGTTCCTCATAAAAAAATTGTTTTGTGTTCCTGGGTCTTAAAAAGTTTAAGAAACACTGCTTATGCCTATTGGTCTGCAAGTGAAGCCCGGTACAACTATCCTCAGTCTAAAGCACTTTTTGCCCTAGAGAGAAAAAACCCGAAGAGTTTATGCACATAGTAAGGAAACCTGTTCCATAGCTAACTAGTGTAGAAAGGCTGTGAGACTTCAGTTTTCTGGTGGATGTTACAAAACAGCTCAATGATTTTTGTCCACAGTTGCAGGGCAAGCAAGCTTTTGCCTCTTCTGCTTTCAATTGCATCTAGGCCTTTGAGAGTAAACTGAAATTGCTGCAGAAGCATATGAATGAAGTCACCCCAAATATGGGACACCAATTATTTCCTTCTTGTGATCACAAGAAATCAGACCAATAGTGAGGTATGAGCAGCAGAGTTTCCTCTGCCAGGAAAAGTGGCATTGTACCCATTGTAAAAATCTTCTGGAGGTTTCTACAGAACTGAGCTTGAAGTGTGGATAAATAGTTAAAGGAATAAAACGGTTTCTCTATGACTATAAGTCAGGCAGATAACTATATATAGGATCAAGTTACAGCATGAAGATATTTCAGAGCTTTGGCACAAAGTTTAATATTGTATTGTTTTGAAGGCTGGGTAGCTTTGCAGTGAAGTAATTAAATATTCCAGTGTCAATTGCCTTCTTTGAGGTTGGCACCCCCAATCTCTGAAAATTGCTAATCTCAGCCAACTTGGGGGGCTGCTGCTCCTACCTTTTCAATAGCCTCAAAATAATCTTGAATTGAACATTAATCAGAAACTCAGTACATTTCACCTCTGTCCTACAGGTTTTACTGTCAGAGGGCATGAAAAATATGAGGCGCTTCCTTACTCTTTGTCCAATTAGCTAAAAGGAGATAACTGAAAGAATGCAAACAGAGGCTGAATGTCCTTGGTTCACAGACCTCTCAGTAGACTTCTATATTTCTTTTTGTCAGCTTGATAAACATCTGAAATGTCTTAATAGTTCCCATTTTAACTCTTTGTCCTCTGTGACCAAGCCAATTGGTACTACGATTGCCATAAACTTCACATATATCTACTAAAAAGAATGTTATACAGGACAGATACAAGACAGCGTAACATTTCAGTTTCTGTTATGGAAACTGTGTTATCAAAGGAATGCTATATATTTTAATGGTAGAGCAACACCATCAAAAGACAGGAAAAATATTATGAAAACTATCTATCTTTACTTGAAAGCAATTTTTGTGAAGGTTTGTCCACATGGGGACACTGACTGGCATAGCTATAACAGAATAAACTATGGCAGAATAGTGTCCGAAGGAGGATTTATTCTGGCATAGCTTATTCTGCTATACCCGTGCCCGTTAAATTCCATCTATGGACAAGCCCAAAGACTGGAAACACTATTCAAAACTCTATATGCCAGTTTGTTTTATTTATAGCCGTGGGGCATTTACATTTTGAAGGATCAGTTTTTGCCAGTGAATAATTTCTTGTAAGTCCTCTTTTTTTTTTCTTTTTGGCTTGCAGGGCATTGTTTCAGTGTTTTAAAGTATGAATCTCTAAGTTTTGAGGGCAATGAAGGGAGCTCTATATTGACCACAAGATATCAATGAGGCCATGAGCTAAATAGTGTTTAAAATCTGTTTGGTTACATATATGTCACATCACCATAATATTTGTGCCCTACACATATTAATGAGTTAATCTTTGCATTGTGCGCCAATGCGTAGAAAAGGGGAAGTTACTTACATGTACAGTAACTAGTGTATGTACGGGAACTAAGGGAACGGGGGATGCTGTAGAACCCTCTGATTTGGTGTCCATTAGACACAGGGTTTAGAGTTTGGCTCACTGGCTCTCAGCACCCTTACTATAAAATTGGTCCAGCACCCCTGAGGCCTTGAGATGTACTGTGGAGAAGCAGGGATTAGTTACTGTCCCCAAATCTTGATTTAGTAGGTCTGCTACTGGGTAGGCAAAGAAGTGGCTGCAGAGATAGGCAAATCAGGTCCAGGAATCCTGACTGCCTCAGCTATCTGGTGCTATAAGGATGATTATTGATTTCTTTTGGTTTACTTTGTTCAGAATTTGAGGTGGGGGGATAAACATATAACAAGATTCAGGACCATGGAGTAAGGAAGATGACTTCTAAGAAGCTGCATCATGTTCTCGAACAGAACTACCGAGATTTAACAAAATGGTGTTGTAAAGAGGCCTGTGCCCAGGAAGTCCCAGGTGAGAAATTTTTCATGTGCTAGAATCACTTAGCTCCTATTCATCATCCTGGCAAAAATTCCTGTCAGTGAGTCTGCTTGGTGTTCTGCACACTTGGTAGATATTAGGTTCTGAGCTAGGGTTGAGGGCATTGGTAATGTAGTCTGGAATTTAATGTCACTGTGTAAAGGCTGTCATATGACCCAGAAGCTGCAGGCAGGTCTCTGCTGTGTTGCGGGCCTGGACGTCATGTGGAGATGGTGTTGGATATAGTGACAAACCTATCCAACCCTGGAGGTTGTGAACTCCAGCATGTATCCTATGGAGTGTAGGCTTTTCCATTTTGACCAACAGCCCCATAGAGTGGGAAGAGAGCTGGGATCTTGTTAGTTGCAGACTATACAGTAACTCCTTGCTTAACACTGTAATTATGTTCCTGAAAAATGATACTTTAAGCAAAACTATGTTAAGCAAATCCAATTTCCCCATAAGAATTAATGTAAATGGGAGGGGTTAGGTTCCAGGGATATTTTCTTCAGCAGACAAAAGGGCAGTATATACAGTATACATTTTAAACAATACTGTACACCGCAATGATGATTGTGAAGCTTGGTTGAGGTGTTGGAGTCAGGGGGTGGAATATTTCCCAGGGAATGTCGTACTACTAAATGAGGCCTATGTGGTCTGTGAGACCACTTTGAGAAACACATTAACTGGCCATGCTGGTTTATTTACGGGAACCATTGTCACGGAGTCTTGCGGCTCCCATTGGTTCTGTTTGACTGTTTGTAGCCAAGGGGGGCCACGGGAAGCGGTGACACGGCCCACACTACTTCCCATGGCTCCCATTGGCTGCAAATGGTGAAATGGAGCCAATGGAAGCCGCGAGGCTTTGTGGGCGCAGTGCCAGTAAATAAACAAACCATCATGGCCAGTTAATGGGTTTCTCAAAGTCATTTTGCAGACCACTTTGAGAAACACTGCTCTAGAAGCACACTGAAGCAGGAGGGAGGAAACACAATAGACACAGGGCAGGGGCTACAAACACTTCTATGCAGAAACTGAACATGATGATGAACCCATGCTAGTCTGCTGGAACGCACCACTTTCTCTTTTGGACGGTGCACATACAGCTGCGCAGTGCTGAGGAGTGTGTGTGTATGAGGCAGAGATGTGCATTACCCCTTTAAGTACACTGCCTTTATAAGCAGACCAGGAAGTCCACCCTCAAGAATCTGTAGCTGTGATTTCCTGCTTTGTGGAGATGGGGTACGGAATGTGGGACTCGATTGGGAGGAGTTGGGGGGACATCCTGACATCAGTACCCCTTTCCCACTTCCAGCAAGCAGGATACTCCCGAGAGCATCTCCGAGGCGGAGGGCAAGAGCAGCACAGCAGTATACCTTACAGGGAACTTAGAGGAGCTGATGGGAGGCTGCCAGCCCACGCTGGTTCCTAACCCCAGAAAGGCAGGCTGCGTTTCCATAAAATCCTGCAAGTAGTAGACAAAACGTGCAGCCAAATGAGTTTATAAGAGAGAATAGCCCAACTTGAAATGAGCATGTGCTTTAGCAGATAAGCCATGTAACAACAAAATAATGTTAACTGGGACAGCATTAAATGAGGAATTACTGTAATGTGCATGGCATTGCTAAACTGTTTAGCCAAAAACAAGTGGGGAAAATAAAAAGCAAGAAACTAATCACAGCAAACCATATAAAAACAAGGAAAAACAAATTAGTAAAGACATTATTTGGACTGCATATGGAAGTTACAGAGTAATAAATTGTGTAGCCAAATTTCATGTTAGTTATCCATCATAATTTGTGGTCAGTGATTCCAGTGCTGCTGCCTCTTCAACACAGATCCCTCCAGTCTCCTGAGAATGCCCAGGCTTCAGCCCCACCCAGACTGGGGGCCGCCTGGGCTCTAAAGCTGGGTACCTTCCCCTGCAGCGTGGGGTCTTGACTCCCACAGGGGTAGGGCTGGGGGCTTACCTTCCCCCAGCCCTATGTTCACACTGTGCCCATGTTGACACTGCACCCTGACACACATGTTGTTCAAAACAATCTTGTTCAGTGTCTGGTTACCATTATTGACTTCTGACAGTACTTCTGACTCGTTACTGTCCATTCCTTAGGTTACCTGAAAGACAGCATCTACAGGAAATGAACGGATCTATGTCAATTCCCAGGGTATGTCTACACTACAGAGTTTTGTCGGAAAAATGGCCATTTTTCTGACACAACTTGAGTTATGTCCACACTGCAATCGTGTTCTTTTGAAAGTAAATCGAAAGACCAGAGGGTTTTTTTCTGACAGAAGTACTCCTCTTTCTACGAGGAAGAATGCCTTTTTCAAAAGACCTCTCTCGGAAAAAGGTGCATGTGGATGGGGAGAAGTTTTCTTTTGAAAGAAGAGGCCTCCAGGAAATAACACAGGTGCCTTGGTGGACACTCTATCCATACTAATCACAACTCTATAGTTCCTGTCCCCTGCCAGCTCTTAAAGCTGCAGGCACCCTGGACAAGTCTTGTGGCAGGAAGCCGGCCCTGGGAGCAGCACTTGACCACACGGCTCTCCCTGCTGCAGGCATTGCCACTCATGGCCCAGCCGCAAGCCGCAAGCCCCCTGAGATTCCCTTGGCTCTGGACCCTCCTGGTCCAGAGTGGAGATCCTGTCCCTTCTCGAGCTGTGGGGGGAGGAGGAGACCCTGCAGGATCTCTGCTTCTGGTGCCAAAATGCAGACATCTATGGGCACATGGTCAAGGCCCTGGCGAAGAGGGGACACCCCTGCCCCCCTACCTTAGAACAGGTCCAGAGTAAAGTTAAAGAGCTATGCCAGGACTACACCAGGGCAAGGGAGCGCAGCTCTCACTCCGGGACAGGACCCCACTCCAGCCCCTACTACCAGGAGTTCCACCAGATCCAGGGGGGAGGCAGGGGGAGGTGGGGAAACCCTTTCTCCACCCGGGGTGGTGGACTCGGGGCTTGAGATGCCCGTCGTCGCCTGCCCAGGAGGAGGAGGAGGAGGATAAGAGACAGCAGGGCAGAAGGAGGAGGACACGGCCAGTACAGTCACCCTCACTCTCGAGCCAGTATCCCAGGCCCTGGACGTGTCACAGGTATCGTCAGATGGTGGGGAGGGATCATCAGATGAGTGCTCTCAGTATTCCACACACACAGAGCGGGGGAGGCAGGCACAGAGGGGATGGGGTGCGATCATTGTTCAACCTTCTCAGCCTGGACATCATGCTGCAGTCGGTGCATGTGGAAGCATGTGCAGTGCCAGTCTGCGCCACGCAACCTCAGGAGGCAGCCCCAGAGCACCCTTAGGATCCTGCTCACAGGCTCAGGGGAGGCCACACACACAGGTCTGACCCCTGGGGGGGGACGCCCTCCCACCACCAGCCACCATGGAAGCAGGCTCCTCACAAGGCCACACACGACCCCATGCAGACCGGCTCGTCACAAGGGCACACACGACCCCATGCAGACCGAAGAGTGCCACACAGAGCACACAGGCATGCCTGCCCGCACGAGGCACCACCCGCTAACGCGGACAGCGCTGCCAGGCGCAGGTGTGTGCTGGCCCCATGGAGGGCCATGTTGCTCTAGACCCCTCTCCCGCCCATGGGATTTCACTATGGCTGGACACTTGCCTTGCCTGCTTGTCTGGAAGGGGGGCAGCATGGTCCTCTGGCACCTCGGGGCCCCTGTGAGGCTGAGCCTGCTGTGCAGGCCACATATGGCCTTGCTCCCAGGACATCTCCATCCTCTGGGCGGAGGACTGTTGGTCGCTGCTCAAAAGAGGGCATAGCCTCAGGGACAGTGTGTGCATGGATGACTGACCGCCTCTCCCTCTTTATTCTCCACAGCTGGACCAGCCATTTCTGAGGGGTGATCCACACTAGCCGAGGCAGCCTCCCAACTCTGAAAGCGCACGAGGGTCCATGAAGACCTCTTGAGGCAGCATGTGGGCGTCCTGCATGACATGCAGCAGACCCTGGTGCAGAAGGTCCGGGAGGACGCTGAGTGGTGGAGTCGTATGTGGGACCAGCTTGTGTGGCAGGGCAACAACATGTGTGCCATCATGCGGGAAATGATGGCACACCCGGCTGCTGTCCCTGATCCTACTTCCCACCCTCCTGCCCCTCCCTGCTATACACATTT